AAAAAAAAAAAAGAAAACAAAACAGTATAAACTATTTAACCACATACAAATCACTATGTTGATTATATAATATGTGATGAATAATGTAAACTTTACAGTTTACAGACTTCACGACCAGTTAATTATCAGAACAATATTAAAAAGTAACAACTGTTTATGCAATTCTAAGAGGTCTGAGCCTTAAATTTATTTACTTTAATTAAAAAATTTCTTTTAATGAGATGCAATATATTTTTTTATACTTATGTAGAATTGTAAACGAGTCGAACCAAGCTTGATCTTCAACGAGTCGAGTCCATCAACGGCTAGTTTCGCTTAACAATTTTGTATTTATGTAACTTCCATATACCAATTGAGAAATATAATTAGTTAGTTTTATTAGTAAGTATTATACGATAGAATAATTAAAAAAATATAATTATTATTTAATTACTATAAATTTATTAATGTAATAATTTATTACCATAATTAACCTAAAAAATTTGTAAACGATTATAAAGTCGTTGCCTATAATTATCTACATATATATATTGAAGTGCAAAAAAAATGAAAAGTAGAAATGTATTCGCGCTGATGCTCTTCCCTCCCTTATTGCATTGAGAATACCAAACCCTACCCCGTCGCCTGTCACCAGTCAAGATAGCCAACGTTGCCGACGCCGCCACCTCCACCGCCGCCAGCCGGTCTCCGATCAATCTGCTTATTTGTAAGAATCATTATCTCTATCTTCTTTATACATTTTCTTCCGATGAATCTTTAATATCGGTACTGCATCTGTATTTGAGCTTTGAAGCAACTTTTTTTCATCTGTATTTGAGCTTTGAAGCAACTGTTTTCTTCATCTTCTTTTTCTGAACGAAGATCGATTCCAAAATTTTAACCGATCTGTTTGCAGAATTTTCGACTGGGTTATTGTTGTCACGGGAAAATTCGGTGATTGGGCCACCGTTTGATGCATTTCTTTAACTGGATTTGGTCAGGACGCTACAGTAACTTTGTCAATTATGTTCTTGAGGGACCATATTTTTGTTCATTGTTTTGGTAAATTAACATAAATTTTACCGATATTGAAATCAATTAACCTGATTAGGAATAGCTTACATAGAAACAAGGAAATAAACACGAGGTATTTCGATAAGTTCTAAACTGTTAGTAAAAAACTAGTGACTTATGTTTACTTAAAGCTACACCATTGATGCTAAACTTGTATTCTGGAGTGATGTGATTTTTGTTAGTTATCTTTAAAAAAAGGGTTGAAATTATTTGACAGCTCGTAATTCATAAAATTCATAAATTCATTAGTTTGTCGTGTTTTTTGTTTGTTTATCAGTGCATTGATGTGCTTCGTTATGCATATATGAATATTTGATTGAGGATTGGGCGAAACTTGATGGATATGGTTGATCACTTGGAAATTATTGCCTTCCAGTTGGATACTTACTTTATGGATTGCTGAATTGTGTATTATTAATATCCTGATTGTGAATGTCTTGTAGGATAGGTGAATTGCCTTTGGATTAACGATTTACCTTATCTTCATTGATGACTCATTATACTTTGCATGTTCAATAGCTTATATGGGTCAAGTCCCGAAAAATCACATCATTTATTCATCTTGGTGAATGTAGATCTAGCAAATAACTGTGGGCTGCAGCATTACAAATGTTAGGAACATCATCAGGTTTCTTAAAACATTTTATTCTACTTGTCCCTCATCTTAAGTAGTTGTCATTTGTAGAATCATTGCTCTGATATTCTTCATTCTGCAAAAAGACATTGATCGAAACAACTTGTCAAGGGAGGATCTGTGGTTGGTGTTATGGCAATTTGCTATTTTGTTAGTTTCTTTTGTTTTTGATGTGTCAAAAGATGATATTCGGAGAACTAAATCGTTGATACCTAACTTACATACCTTGTTGCAGATACCGTGCTTATGTGATGTTATAAGTGCCCTTTTTGCATTGTCAATATTCTGGGCAATGTCACTAAACTCTTAGACGCTTGATAAAAAAATGTAAGGCATGCTGCATCAATTTTAATTTGTGAAAAACTATGCTGACGAATGCAATTTTCTATGTTGAAATATGCGCTGTATAATAGGTTTTTTGTCTTATCTGTTAAATTTATTACACTCCTTTGTTTAATTTCATTTGATGCCTGTTTTGCAGTTTTCCATTAAAATCAAAGGTGTCTGGTTGATTACGAAGATTGTTTGTGTGGTTTGCTTCTGATTTTACTTTCTAGAAAGGTTATGATCTCATTATGAATTTGCAGCATGGATTAGTTTAATATCTTTGGCGTTTTGTAATCTTTTTATGTATTTATTTATATACAAGTATTTTAGAGTCTTGTGTTCAGTCATGGCATAATGGTCATCTTCGATACGTCATTTTGTGGTGCCCTGTTTTCTGTCTTCTCAGAGTGGATTATGCAGTGTTCTGTTTAATCATTTAGCATTTATTTTTTTCCTTTTTTTTTTTCATGCCTCCTGATGAAAAATGAGTAGATTAATAATCGTTGTAAATCAACCTTTGAACAGATGCACCATGCCTGAACAGCGCAACCCAAATGGCCAACCTGCCAATGGCAATGGATCTGGAGGCAATGCATACACGATTGACTTGAACACATTCAGCAAGAGATTACAGGCTCTGTACACTCACTGGCGCCACCACAAAGATGAGTACTGGGGCTCTTCCAATGTCCTTGCTGTTGCCACACCACCTCCTTCCGAAGACCTGCGCTACCTGAAGTCCTCTGCCCTCCATATATGGTTGCTCGGTTATGAATTTCCAGAGACGATCATAGTATTCGAAGACAAGCATATTCACTTCCTGTGCAGCCAAAAAAAAGCATCACTGCTCGAGGTCGTGGGAAAGCCCGCTCGAGAAGCAGTTGGCGTTGATGTAGTCATGCACGTGAAGGCAAAAAATGATAGCGGCAGCAGTTACATGGACTCTATTCTCCGTGCCATCCGTTCACACTCAAAGTCGGACGATCACGAGTCCCCAATCATCGGGTACATAGCTCGAGAAGCCCCGGAGGGCAAACTCCTCGAACTGTGGTCGGATAAGTTGAAAGATTCGGGTCTCAAGCTGAGCGACATATCCAGTGGGTTGTCCGAACTTCTCGCCGTGAAGGATAAGAATGAGATCACTTGCATAAAGAAAGCCGCATACTTGACTGCCTCTGCAATGAAGAACTTTGTGGTCCCGAAAGTCGAGAAGGTGATTGATGAGGAGAAGAAAGTCACACACTCGTCTCTAATGGAGGACACAGAGAAGGCTATACTGGACCCGATAAAAATCGGCGTCAAGCTCAAGGCGGAGAACGTGGATATCTGCTACCCGCCAATTTTTCAAAGCGGGGGAAGTTATGATCTCCGGCCCAGTGCCTCAAGCAACGACGAGTATCTGTACTATGATTCCTCCAGCATCATCATCTGCGCCATTGGGTCCCGTTACAACAGTTATTGCTCGAACATTGCCCGAACGTATCTTATCGACTCGAACTCGATGCAGAGCAAGGCTTATGAGGTCCTCCTCCGAGCCCACGAGGCAGCCATCCTTGCGGTGAAGCCCGGGAACAAGGCGTGCGCGGTTTACGATGCAGCTGTCTCTGTCGTGAAGAGAGACTCCCCCGAGCTGTTTCCTAACCTGACGAAATCGGCCGGGACCGGCATTGGGCTCGAGTTCCGCGAATCGGGATTGAGCCTGAACGCGAAGAACGAACGTGTGCTGAAGGCGGGGATGGTCTTCAACGTCTCGCTCGGGTTCCAGTACTTAGAGGCCAAGACGAGCAAGCCCACCAAGAACCAGAACTTTTCGCTGCTGCTTGCTGACACGGTCATCGTGAACGAGAACGGACGCGAAATTGTCACTTTGGCATGCTCGAAATTACTGAAGGACGTGGCATATTCGTTTAACGAGGACGAGGAGGACGAGCAGCCGAAGGTGCGTGCCGAGTCGAATGTTGCCTCGAAGGGCGTCGTCTACTCCAAGGCGACCCTCCGTTCGGACAATGGGGAGCTATCAAAGGAAGAACTGAGGAAGCAGCACCAAGCGGAGCTCGCCCGCCAGAAGAACGAGGAGACGGCTCGCCGCCTGGCCGGCGTGGAGTCGGGTGGAGGGGATGGGCGAGCTTCTGCTCGGGCCGCCAGCGACCTGATCGCATACAAGAACGTAAACGAGCTGCCGCCGCCGAGGGAAATGATGATCCAGGTGGACCAGAAGAATGAAGCCATCCTGCTCCCGATCTACGGCAGCATGGTCCCGTTCCACGTGGCGACCGTGAAGACTGTGTCGAGCCAGCAGGATACCAACCGAAACTGCTATGTGCGTATCATCTTCAACGTGCCGGGCACTCCCTTCAGCCCGCACGATGCCAACTCGCTGAAGAACCAGGGTGCCGTGTACCTCAAGGAGGTGTCCTTCCGGTCCAAGGACTCGCGCCACATCAGCGAGGTGGTGCAGCTGATAAAGACGCTGAGGCGCAATGTGATGGCCCGTGAGTCGGAACGGGCGGAGCGGGCTACCCTTGTGACCCAAGAAAGGCTCGTTCTCTCGGGCAACCGTTTCAAGCCGATCCGGCTACACGACCTCTGGATACGGCCCGTGTTCGGGGGCCGAGCCCGGAAGCTGACGGGCACGCTGGAGGCCCATGCGAATGGGTTCCGGTTCTCGACTTCGAGGGCGGACGAGCGGGTCGACATCATGTACGGCAACATCAAACACGCCTTTTTCCAGCCGGCTGAGAAGGAGATGATCACGCTCGTCCATTTTCACCTCCACAACCACATCATGGTCGGCAACAAGAAGACAAAGGATGTCCAGTTTTACGTCGAGGTCATGGAAATGGTTCAGAACATCGGCGGCAGCAAGCGATCTGCCTACGATCCCGACGAGATTGAGGAGGAGCAGAGGGAGCGCGACCGGAAGAACAAGATCAACACCGATTTCCAGCACTTTGTGAATCGAGTCAACGACCTGTGGGGACAAGGCCAGTTCAAAGGCCTCGACCTCGAATTCGACCAGCCTCTCCGTGAGCTGGGCTTCCATGGAGTTCCTTACAAGGCCTCGGCCTTCATCGTCCCCACTTCCAGCTGTCTGGTTGAGCTGATCGAGACTCCCTTCCTCGTCATTTCTCTTGCCGATATTGAGATTGTCAACTTGGAGCGCGTGGGCCTTGCGCAGAAGAACTTCGACATGGCAATCGTGTTCAAAGACTTCAAACGGGATGTGATGAGGATCGACTCGATACCCTCGACCTCGCTCGACGGCATCAAGGAGTGGCTCGACACGACTGACATCAAGTACTATGAGAGCCGGCTCAATCTCAACTGGCGTCCCATATTGAAAACGATCACGGACGATCCCCAACAGTTCATAGAGGAAGGCGGGTGGGAGTTCCTCAACCTGGAGGCCACCGACTCGGACTCGGACCATTCGGCCGAGTCGGACCAGGGTTACGAGCCATCGGATGCCGAGCCCGAGTCGGAATCGGAGGATGATGACTCGGACAGCGAGTCGCTGGTGGAGTCGGAGGATGACGAGGAGGAGGATGACTCTGAAGGGGATGAGCAGGGGAAAACGTGGGAGGAGCTCGAGAGGGAGGCCAGCAATGCCGACAGGGAGAAGGGAAACGAGTCGGACAGCGNACGAGAGGAGGAGGAGGAAGATGAAGGCTTCCGGAAAGGCCAGGGTGGGGCCCAGCATCCCGGCTGCCTCCAAGCGGTCCAAGTTTAGGTGATGTGTTCTATTTTCGTAACTCGCTACTGCTAAACTAGTAGCGTGTTAAGGAAGAAAAACCGCTAAACTCCAGTTCCGTGTGTTTCAGTGTATGTCTAGTTTGTAATAGCCCGATGTTTTAGGAGCACTTTTATCTTTATGTGTATCTTGTTGGGTAATGTTAAAAATGTTTTGGTCTTTTCGTTTGGTGATGGATTTGTTGAGCTTTTTTTTCTACAGCGCATCGGCTGGAGAGCAGATGTGTTATATTTTTATGGCCGTTGAACTTGATAAACTTGTGTAGGATTTGAGAACTTCTGTAGTTGAATGAAATCAGTGCTACGATCGTGCGTCATGTTTACACATGTTTATTTTATTATGTAACATGTTCATTTTAAATTGTTTTGGCACACCTTGCTAGGTGTGTCAGGGAGCACTAAGTATTTGAGGAATGAAATGGCCTCTGAAATAGCAAAACATGTTCTGTCCCATTAGTGGGTTGATCAGACATCAGTCTCTTTCATAGGTGGAAATTGCCAAAATAATTATTTTCAATAAAATTAGTTGCCGAAATAAAAACTTTCTTAAAAAGTTTTTTTTTTTCCTCAAACAGATAAATATCATAAAGAGAACCAAAATATACAGAGTTCATACAAATATACTACAAACAACCCCCAAAGAACAAGGGAACCGACAAAGCTAGGGGAAATATGAGAGACTACCAGAATATTCCTACCCAACGAACAAAAACACCTATACAACCCAGAAAAGCTAATACAAGACTACACAACCAAAGAGGAAAAGAAAAGAACAACAACTCAAAACACTACCCACTACTAATTACAAAACAGACTCAGCACACCACCTTTGAGCATACCACAACCTCAGGCTTCACAAATGAAATGACTAATTATGTTGCCCCGGGGGAGTGATAATGGCATCATCACTGGTAGAAATAACAATACCCTACCTTCACCAATACCATCCACAGGTGACACCCAAAATCAGCCTCTATCCAGGTCTTTCATGTTCCTTATATTGGCATACTCTCTCCATTCACTTACTGCTCTCTCAGCCACTTCCCTCTCTGTTTTCCATTCTTGCTTAAATAGCCAGTTGTTTCTAGTCCGCCATAACCACCAGAGTAAATAAGTGGTAAGCTCAATTCTGTTCTTCTTGCATCTCCCTGTCTCCATTAAACACAAAGCACTCCACCAGTTCCTAAAATCTACTTCCTTATCTCTCAATCCATCCCAGCTTAACCCAGACAGTTTCCAAACTTTCTCAGCTTTGTGGCAAGTGAAAAGGATATGTTCCAGGGTTTCTGTTTATTCTCCACATTGCCTACAGATCAAATCCACCATCATCCCTTTCTTTACCAGATTTTTCTGTGTAGCCAAATAGTTATGCCAACATTTCCAAATAAACATCTTGATCTTATTCTTAATCTGCAAACCCCAAGTTTTTTTCCAGATTTCTTTTTGACAGACAGACTGTTTACTGTGCTCTGGGTGATATTTCCTCAGCTCTTCCTCTTCCACTAACATCTGGTAAACCTGCTTAACAGAGAATTGACCTTTTGCACATTTAAACCATACAAGCTGGTCCCTTTTGCCTGAAGCATGTACTCGAAGTTTGAGTATTTCTTCTGCTTGCATTGGAAGGAATGTCAGTCTAATTAGCTCCTCATCCCACTAATTCCATCCATCTTTACACAAATCCCTCACCTTCTTCAGCACCCTTTTGTCTCTTTCAAAACAACAAAATGGTTTAAAATTTGGTGCTCTTGGAATCCATGGGGATTCCCAGATGTCAATGTTATTTCCATCCCCAATATAAAACCTCAACCCCAATCTTAAAACATACCTCACCTTCATCCATGACCTCCAAAGCCAAGAATCAAAGTATTTTGGTTGAACCTCCATTATGTCCTGATTATGAAAATACCTTCCCCTCATTACCTTACTTAACAGCAAATCCGGTTTAAAAATCACTCTCCATATTTGTTTAGCAATATGAGCATCATAGAACAGAGAGAAATTTCTAAACCCCATACCACCTCTGTCCTTTGGTACTGCAAGTTTTTCCCATCATGCCCAGTGAATTCTTCTTTTACCCCCCCTCAAATTTACCCCACCAAAAGTCTACAATAGCCCTGCAAATATTCTGACATATCCTCACTGGGAGTTTAAAGCAAGACATAATATAAACAGGTAGAGCTCCAAGAACAATTTTGATTAAAATGTCTCTACCCCCTTCACTCAAAAATTTATTTTTCCAATTATTCGCTCTAGCCAAAACACAATCAGAAACAAATTTGAAGGCATCAACTTTAGATCTACCAATACCTAAAGGCATACCTAAATATTTAGAGGACTTGACCATTTGGATCCCTCCAAAAAGCTGGCAGATACAATCCTTTAGCTCAGCAGAAGCATTTTTGGAAAACAAAATAGAGGATTTTGACATATTAACAACCTGCCCAGACGCCTTACCATAACTACTCAAAATTCTATGCAAAATAACAACATTATCCCAATTAGCTTGACAAAAAATAATGGAATCATCCGCAAAAAAAAAAAA